TTCAAACTCCACTTTTGGATACAAATCTCTAAATTTTTTAAGTGAGAACTTTTGAACTTAGATGTGAAAACTCTAAGTTTTATTGCATGTGAGCCTCTAAACTCAATTGAGAAGCTTTGAACTTTTGGATGTGAATCTCCAAAATTCAAACAAAAAGCTTTAGACTTTTTGGATGTGAATCCCAAGTTTGCCAAATGCTTACCTTTGAATTCAAGTGAAAAGCCTTGAACTTTTGGATGTGAATCTTCAAGTTAAATGATGATCTTTAAATGTTAGATGCCAGTCTTGCAAGTTGCAAATGTGAATCTTGAGATCTTGCAAATTTGAATTTTTATGAAATTAAAATTTTGAGAATCAAATTTCAGTAAATTCTTGCGAAGTTGAAAGGTTCTTGCAAATCTGAACCTTTGAATGTTGAACTCAAATTGTGAATCTTTGAGTTTCCATTACAAAATTCCTTCAAACACGATCTATAACTCCTTTAGACATGATTGTCATTGAGCATTTATTTTTCAAAGTTGTGGTGCTCTGTTTAGAGGAGTATTTACTTTTCAAAGTTGTGGTACCTCTGTTTAGAGGAGCAACTTATTTTTCAAAAGTCATTGAGCCTTTGTTTAGAGGAGCTTTATTTATTTTCTTCATAGTCGTTGAGCCTCTGCTTAGAGGAGCTTTATTTATTTTCAAAAGTTGTTGAGTCTCTGATTAGAGGAGCTTTGTTTATTTTTTTCAAAAGTTGTTGAGCCTCTGATTAAAGGATTTTTTTTTATTTTTCAAAAGTTGTTAAGCCTCTAATTAGAGAAGCTTTGTTTATTTTTTTCAAAAGTTGTTGAGCCTCTGATTAGATGAGCTTTATTTATTTTTCCCAAAGTCGTTAAGCCTTTGTTTAGAGGAGCTTTATTTATTTTCCAAAGTCATTGAGCCTCTCTTTAGATGAGCTTTATTTATTTTTCCAAAGTCATTGAGCCTCTGATTAGAGGAACCTTGTTTACTTTTTCAAAGTTGAAATTGTGAATCTCTGCTTAGAAGAGTTTTGAGTCATTTAGCAAATTTTAGTGTCTTTTTTAGAAAAAAAAAAAAGAAAAAAATGAATGTGTTAGCATAAGTGGGGTGTTTATGTCTTTGCACAATTCTTGTTGCACAGGAAATGCGCAAAGAGGGGCAATTGTAAACACCCAATTTGATCCAGGCCCAAATCAATTGGGCTTGGTCCAATGGGGTCAGTCAAGCCCAAAGATTTGGGCTTAATTATTTATTCATGCTGATATATTTATTTGTTTTTCTTCTAGATTTTTTTTATTTTATGTTCTTTTTTTTCAGATTAATTTTTGGTTATTAGATGATAATAAATATTAGGATAATTAAAAAATAAATAAATAAATAAGTAAATTTAGCCATGGTTAAGGTGGTAGAATTATACATGGATTGAATCTGTTTTGTGATGATCTGAGGAGGATTCACAATCGAACTAGAATTCCTTTAATTTTCCCTATCAATTGACACACTGAACAGAAAGGAAAAGAGAAAAACAAAGAGAGAAAAACAAAGAGAGAAACACAAAAAATAGGGCAAACAGAAAGCAGAAGTGGGCAAAAAGTATTTAGAGGGGCTATGGGAATCCTAGGATTATTAGGAATTTTTTTTTGAATTTTTGACTTTTTTTCTGAAAATTTTATGAAAAATTTCCAGATTTTGACGAAATTTTTAGGCACCGGTTGAATTTTTTGGTTACTTTTTCAGCACCAGTTGAATTTTTTGACAATATCCCCAATTTTTCCCCTAGCTGCATAGTTTTTGGCATAACAACTCCAGAAACCATTGAACTTTTCGATGAACTACCGGCAAAAACCTAGATTCTAACCAAAATTTTCAGAATCCAGTGAAATTCAATCGGTGTTCTTGGGGTGCCAGAGAGAGAAAGAGAGAGAAGAAAGGGAAGAAAGAATGGGGATGAGGGATCTGAGGAAAAAGAACTGAACTCAGCTTTTTATATCCCCTACGAAACGACGTCATTTTGACCTTCATTATCCTTGAGGATTTGCTCGTTTTGCCATCGGGTGACCTAACCTGAGCGTGAACCCGTTTCTAACCCATGTGCTAGCCAAACCCTTAGCCGTGTTGAGCCAAGCCGCTTGCCTCGAGCCGCACTGTTCTAGCCTCTTTCTGAGTTTGTAGTCGAGCCATCTCGATCCGGTCCAGTCGAGCCATTTTTGGTATTTTTTTAGTATTTTATTTATTTATTTATTTTTATATGTTTTTTTTACATGATTGAATTTAGAAAAAATAATAATAATAAAAATAAAATTTTGGGAATAATATTATTTATCCAATGATACAATTTATAAAAATTTCAAATGGTAAATTTCTATAAAATTCCTAGGTGAGAAATTTGTCTAAATTTGGCCCAAATGATGTAATAATTTAGATAAAGTTTCAATAAAAATAATTAATATTTATTTTCAAACAAAAAATAATAATAATAAATGAAAAAAAATATAAAAATTGTGGGAATTAAATACAAATTACCCAATGATGAGATTCTTAGATATTTCAAATGGTAAATTCCTAAGAAATCTCTAGGTGAAAAGTTTTCTCTAAATTTGTCCCAAATAGTGGAATAATTTAGATGAAAGTTTCAATAAAAGTAATTGTATTCTTTGTCCAAACAAAAGATTTTTGGTTGAAAATATGTGATAATTATCCAAGGATGAGATTCTTAAAAATTTCAAATGGTAAATTTCTAATAAATCTCTAGGTGCGAAATTTCATCTAAATTTGGCCTAAATAGTGGAATAATTTAAATGAAATTTCAATAAAAATAATTGTCATATTATTTTCTTTCCAAGAAAAAATAAAAAAAAAGAGAAAATATTTCTAATTTGGCCCAAATGGTGGAATAATTAGATTTATTTTCAACAAAAAAATGATAATAATAAAAAAATAATAAATAAACCTTTTTTTTTATGACGGAGCCTCTTCAAGAAATCAAATGGGATTCTTGAATACTTTTGAGGTGAGAAAGTATTTTTTAAGAGTTCTACCAAATTGATAGAGAATCTTAAAAATTATTTCCAATATTTAACTTAAAATTTGAAAACATTAGACTCAAGATCATAGGATAAATTCAAAATAATATGATACCATCCTTTGGATGGGCATGTGGGGGTGCTATAACCTTCCCTACATGTAACCGATTCCGAACCCTGTTCTAGTTAGTAAATTCGAACTTATTCTTTTAGGAACCCTTAGTCAAGCTTAGAAGCTCTTTAAAGGAATAAATTCCTTAGGTGGCCAATTACACTTAAATAAAAAAGATTGGTAGCGACTCCATTCATTAGTAAAATTTAGCTATAGATTTTCGGATCTGTATATTATGAGAAGTACAGAAAAATCAATAAGTTGTAATAACCAACCATTTCAAAAATGATAAAAGAAAGAAAATCCCCTTCAAAATCTTTTCTATGATCTTATTCAATACAAGCCGGTCAAACAAAATCCTGTTGAAAATAATACCTTTTAAACTACAAATGAATACTAGTTTAAACCAGCCAAAATTGGTAGAACGAAAGTTTCACTCACAAATCATGTGACAAAATTTTATAACCAAAAAAACGTTCGTCATTTGGCTTTTAGTTTTAGGTTAATGTTTTACTTTTTCTTTTTTAAAGAAGAATACTCTTTTCGATTACTTTTTCTTTATGTTTGATACGAAAAATATACATTTGAACTTTAAAAAATTTTGAAATAAATTCATTTTTAATAATTTAATTGCCCAAGTGAAAGAAAAAAAAAATAGTATACGAGAATAAGATAATTAAAATTATTTGTATTTTCATAATGTCCCAAAAAAATAAATAAAAACCAAAATTTCTTTTATCATTATTATTGTGTGGTGATTTAAACAAGACAAAGCAAATTTAAAAAATATACTAAGTTAAAACTGAGTCCAAAAATTTATTTTAATTTAGTATCTCATTCCTTTTCTTTTTCTTTCTCCCAAACATGTGTATAAATCTTTTAAGCTTTGATTTAAGAACAATGTTATAAGAGTAAACAAATCAAGCTATTCGTGAACTATTCGATTCAATTTGTTTACTATCAAATCAAGCTCAAATTCGAATTACTCGAATAATAAATCAAGCCTAATTTGAATAGTTTAATATTCTAGTCAAGAGATTCAAGAGCCTAATTAGACTTTTATTTTTAATATATTTAATATATATAAATAAATGATAAAAATAGTGTTTAATGTATTTACAATTGTACTTAACTTAATCTAGTCTACCAAGCCAAACTCAAGTGACATAATTAAATTATGAGCTGTACTTAAACATGAAAAAAAATTCGATCGAAATCAAATCAAATTTTAAACCCCAAACTTTTGAATCTAATCGAATTAAATTTCACAATGCATCAGCTTGATTCGACGAAATTACATCCTTCAATACTAATAGCCATATTTCCATGCCTCTTTATTTTTTTTCTTGTGTTCAATAGATTCATCGTATATGAATATATACTCCAAATATAATAAAAAATGAATATATTTGTGTCAAACAGGTATTATTGCCCAAGGAAAGAAGCAAAAGAAAGTTGAAAGTCAGAAATTTCATAGCCGAATAAATACATAGAAGAAACAAGATACAAATAAGCAAAATACAGTTTAAGGTTAACATCCCCTCCAGACCACAACCTTTTGGACCATCTCACAGCTGAGTACCATTTCCGCTTAGAAACTTTGAACTTTGCAGCCATGGCCAGAAATGTTAATTGAACTTGCCAAATTCTGGGGAGGATAAAAAAAAATCTCTTGAAAAAACTTGCTTCCGACACTGATAAACGACCGCAAGTCAACTTTCCCTACGTGCTCAATATTAAGTCCATAAACTCTAGCAAGGCAGCCACATCGCAGGGTCATTGGGGCGTCCTCGCTGCTTGCCAAATAGACCAAGCTTTTATACCTCATTGCAAATAGGTTTGGCTCAAAACACTTCTACTTGGCCATGGAGCATTCAGGGTATTGTTTCCATCTCAAATAGACATGTCAAATATGAATTATTTAAACATACACAGAAGAGAACAAACTAATTTAAAAATGGCATAACTTGTCGATTTTGAGTCGACTAGGGTATTATACTGCTTATGCAAAAGACTTGGGTAAATAAAATATTATAAGTCGATATAGATTTTAAAGTTATAATTTCGTTTTAATTATCAAATAACTTGATTCCAAGATATTAAATAAAATATTATAAAAATCAAAACTTCATATAAGAATCTTAGATGAAAAAAATTCAATTCTAATTTTCACCTCTATTTAGCTTACAAATTAAAAAATATATATTTATCAAATAATAAATAAAAAATATATTTTTATCTATTTTATATATTTTTCTTATCAAACACATTAAAAAATAATGTATTTACATATTTTTAATGATTTCACTTCTCTCCTCTTAAATTTTTTATTCATATGTTAAATCACCATCGATTTTTTTTTGTAATAAAAAAATCTATGATGAAAAAAGATTTTTTATTTAAAGTTAGAACAAATCACATAGACATTAAATACTTTTTCTGGGAATATTCCATCCGAAATTGGCTTATTGAAAAGTCTTGAGTTGATTTCCTTATCAAATAGTGAGATCAATGGTTCCATTCCACAAGAAATTGGGAGGTTGAGTTCAGTTTCCTACATCTTTTTCTCTTATAACCATCTACGTGGTTCTATTCCTGGAGAGGTTTGGAACCTTTCCAAGCTCACTGGGCTTGACAATTTCTCCGGAAGTATTCCATCTAAAATCGGAAGGTTGAGTTCACTTTCTCTACTTCTCCTTGTAGCAAACAATCTCACCGGTCCAACACCTATTTCTATTGGAAGCTTGTATAATTTGTCCCAACTTCTCCTAGTTGACAATAGTCTCAATGGTGCCATACCTAGAGAAGTTAGAATGATGAAGTCACTCAATATGCTTGATCTTTCAATAAACCAAATAACTGGTCCTATCCCAACATCTCTGGGAAACCTAAGTAAATTGGTATGGCTTTATCTGTATGGAAATAACCTTTCTGGTTCTATCCCCAGTGAAATAAGACAGCTTGGATCTCTTATCACAATGCAGTTGTAAAGTGATAATCTCGCTGGTGTCATCCCTGCTTTCATAGGAAACTTAACCAAATTGTCTACACTTTACCTTTTAGAAAATAAGCTTTTCGGTTCAATACCTCAAGAGATAGGGATGCTTGTATCTCTTACAGAACTTATTTTCTTTTATAACAATTTCTCGGGTTCAATCTCTGCTTCCCTAGGAAACTTGACCAGCTTATCTACTCTCTACCTTGATCAAAATATGTTTTCTGGTTCAATTCCTGCTTCAATTGGAAATAGGACGAAGCTTGTGGGGTTAAGTCTTCTATATAATCATTTATCAGGGCTAATTCCTTCGTTCAGCAATCTTACTCGTTTGGAATCATTCCAAATATCGGACAACCATCTCGGTGGTCCATTACATGAGAATGTATGCCTCGGTGGACAACTCATATATCTTGGGGCTATCAACAACAATTTGACAGGTCTGAACCCATCAAGTTTAAGATGTTGGGAATAATGACTCATATCCCATAAGAGATTTGTTTGGGATTTGTTAGAGATTTGTTTGAGATTTGTCAGATATTGCTTGATGGACAAGAAGACTTGCAAAAGAAGAATTCTAAGAGAAAGAGGATTCTTAATAGGTAAGTTTGACTTGCAAGAGAAGAATTCTAAAAGGAAAGGGATTCTTAATAGGCAAGTTTGACTTACAGGAGAAGAATTCTAAGAGGAGAGGGATTCTTAATGGGCAAGTTTGTATGGTTATAAATAGGTGAAGTCTCTACGGGGTTAGATATGAGAAAAAGATGTAAGAGAGTTGTAGGGTTTTGTGGGATAGACACCCCATAGGAGTATTGGGGCTCTACGTCTTATGGGTGTGTATGTTTGTTTGTGAGTGTACTAGAGGAGACTGAGAGGGTCCACATAGGTATGATGTATGAGAGCATATGGGTATGTGTTTGGTTATGTTGAAAGGGTGCACAGGGGTTTGAGTTTGTGTTTGTTTGGATTGAGAATACTTCATAGGACTAGAGGAGATTGAGAGTGTCTTATGAGTATTGATTGTTGAGTGAGATTGATGATTTGATGTATGTTTGTAATTCTCTACAACTAGTGGATCTTGTTTCTTATCCGTGGATGTAGGTTAGTTAGACCGAACCACGTTAAATTATTGTTTCTTTTCGTGTTTGATTTATTGTTTGATTTTGCTTTCACTGATGTGATTGGATTGGAGACTTTTAGCCCAACATAAGAAACTGCAAAAGCTTTTACAAAGTTAGGCTTGAAAGAAAGCAGTTGACAGGAAATATATCAGAAGCTATAGGTATATATCCTCAATTTGAATTATATTGCATTAAGCAACAACAAATTTTATGGTGAACTTTCTTCAAACTGGGGGTAATGCCATAGTTTAACAAGCCTATGAATCTCCAATAATAACATTTCTAGAAACATACCACCTGAGCTGAAACATGCAACTCAATTACAAGAAGTCGATGTCTCTTCAAATCATCTCATGGGTGAGATTCCCAAGGAATTGGGAGCATTGACACTGATGTTCAATCTTTTGCTAAGTGGTAACCAACTTTCAGGCAAAATTCCATCAGAGATTGGAGTTCTTTCAAACCTACGACACCTTAACTTGGCGTTAAACAATTTAAGTGGATCAATTCCTAATCGACTTGGAAACTACTCTAAGTTATTGAACCTGAATTTGAACAAGAATAAACTTGGAGAAAGCATTCCAATTTCAATAAGCTACATATATGGTCTTGAAATCTAGATTTAAGTCAGAATTTACATATTGGGGAGATACCACAACAGCTTGCAAAATTACTTTCCTTGGAAATATTGGACCTTTCTCACAATATGCTCAATGGTTCCATCCCAAATTCTTTTAATGATTTGCAAAGCTTGACTGTTGTGAATATCTCTTACAATCAATTAGTAGGTCCTATTCCCAACATTAGGGCATTTCATGAGGCTTCATTTGATGCCTTAAGAAACAATAAGGGCCTATGTGGTAATGCCACTGGACTAATGCATTGTGACGTCGCTGCTGCTAGCAACAGCGTTGGTCATAGAAAAAGCACCAAGGTCATCATTTTCATTGTGCTTTCACTCTTTGGTCTTCTTCTTTTACCCTTTATCATGGCTGGAAGTTTCTTTATTCTTTAGGAAAAGAACCGAACTAGAAAATCTGAGTCAATGGAGGCACAACTTAGAGATTTTTTCACATTGTGGGGATATAATGGAAGAATACTCTATGAGAACATTATTGAAGCCACTGAAGATTTCAGCTCCAACAATTGCATTCAGGAGGCTATGGAGCTATTTACAAAACAGTGCTACTCATTGGTGAGGTGGTTGCAGTGAAGAAACTTCTCCAATCTGAAAACAACATGATTTCTAACAACTTGAAAGCCTTTGAAAGCGAGATTCATGGTTTATCAGAAATAAGGCATCGTAACATTGTGAAGCTGTATGGCTTTTGTTCACATCCAAAGAACTCATTTTTGGTTTATGAGTTTGTAGAAAGGGGAAGTTTGAAAATGGTGTTAAGGAATAAGGACGAGGCAATGGAGTTGGATTGGGAGAAGAGGTTAAATGTTGTAAAAGGAGTGGCCTATGCCTTGTCTTATATGCATCATGACCACTCACTACCTATTATTCATCGAGACATTTCCAGCAATAATGTTCTTCTGGATTTGGATTATGAGGCTCATGTCTTAGATTTTGAAACAGCCAGGCTTTTAAAGCCCTATACTTCCACTTGGACCTCACTTGCTGGCACTTTCAGGTACATAGCTCCAGGTATTTATTGATCTCTTTTTCTTAAGATGCTTTAAACATGTAATCATTGAATTAAAAGTGTTAGTTTTGTGTGCAAAGTGATGCGTTAAAACAAAGTTCAAGTAGTATCATGATTGTAAATTTTCAAAATTTAAGTATCAATTTGACTATAATTCAAGTATCAAATGTGTAATTAATTTTTAAAGTTTAACACTTAATTTTTCAATATTCAATATATCAAATTGATGAACGGAATGTAAAATTTTATTTGAACCTTTGAATTTCAATTTTCAAATAATCTTCTAAATATTCACAATTTCTTTTTAACATATATTTTATAATCTTCTCAATGTTTTTATGTAATAGTGTATTGGTTAGATATATTTGTTGCTTAATAAAGGACATGGATTAGATATATTTCTTTAAGTAAAGTTTGCTTATACAATGAAGGTAGATGAGAAATGTGATGCGTATAGTTTTGGGATTCTAACAATGGAAGTTCTTATGGGAAGACATCCTGGTGATCTTATATCATGTTTATCATCATCGACGTTGGCATCGACATCGGCTTTTGTACCTAATGACCTACAGATTTTATTAAAGATGCGTTAAACCAGCATCTCTCACCACCAGAAAACCAAGTTGCAGAGGATATAGTATTTACTACGAAGGTAGCATTTGCATGCTTGAATGACAATGCCCAACTTCGGCCAACCACGAAATAGGTTGCTCAAGTCGTTGCCAGTCAATAGTTTCCATTACCCAATCTTTTCACGATCATCAAATTGGGAGAACTATTGGTCATGGAGTTTGTGGCTAATTAGGTGCTAACAATTTGGATAATAATTCTTGGTACGAGTATAATTTGCTTTCTCAATCTCCTTTTTTCTCTCCTTTGTATTGAAATGTTTAAGCAATCTAATATATCTGTAGTTAAATATTTGATTCACTAATGGTAACAATTCATTAATAAATGAAATTAAAATTAGTTAAATCTTTAAAAATAAATTACTTCTTATATATGCAACGTTAATGGGTTAAATAAAAGCAAATCACTTAAATATAGTAGAGGGAGAATTTAATCAGAAATTAACATAAAAAGAAAGAGAGATTAGGAATTTTTTTTTTTTAAGTTTTAGTTTCACAGTAGTGTTGGATAGTAACATTGTTCTCTGGAAACTTTTGGTTAAAAGCTTCTTTTCCATTTGCATCAAACATTTTTTGTTTTTGTTTTTGTTTTTTTTTTTCTTTTTTGAATTGGAGGTAGGTCAGTGATTTTAATGTGACTTTTTAACAGGAAAATAGATGCACTTATTATTAGCTAAATGATCATGTTCAAAAGTTTTGTTTTCTTGTAATTATATATTAAAATTGTGTAATAATCCTAAATAAAGGAATTGTGTAAATTAACACTAACAATGAACCTACTATATTTAAAATATTAAAATTTTAGTTTGAGCGTGTGAAATGTTGAAATTTCCTTAACTTTTTATGTAAAATAAAGTTTAGCTAAATAAAAATAATATTTTATAATTTCATCTAGATAAACATAAGATGACCGAACCTACACAAGCATGAAAAACAACAAAACTTGAAATGATATTAAGAAAGAAGCCATGATTTGGACAGTTCAAAGGAATATATATTTTATTAATTATTTAAGTATAAATTACATTGACTAGAACGGATGGTCAGGTATTTATTCAACCCCTCTCTAGTTAATTTCCACAAAGACTAACAAACTAACGTGTTTCATGGCAATAATAAATTAGTTAATCTGTTACACGCGAGAGTCAACTCAAGACCGCAAGGTTGTGATCAAATCATTGCAAACCCAAGTAAATCATGAATGACGTGAAACTCTTCTTGACAGACATCTCAAGTCTTCCTCCAATTGACATTGGCGTCAATTTTAGATATTTCTACTTTTCTTGTCTTTTCCTTTCTTACGTTTTTTTTCTTTATTACGTAGAAAGGCAGCTAACTAGGTTGGGGCAGGTAGGGTGTGATATTACTCTTATAGTAGTTTTAAAAGACTTCCTAAGACTTATGAAGTCTTCCTCCAATTGACGTTGGCGTCAATTGAGATGTTTCTAATCTTTTTTTTTTCTTTTCATTTTTTTATTGTGGTTTAAAAAATGAAACACAGTTGATTGGGGGCAGCTAGGGTGCTTGAAAAAAAAATTTAATAATTAAGGTTTTTTACTATTAGATTACGGTTTTTTAAAAAAGTTAGTCTTTTTATATTAGACTGATTTTTTTCAAAAATCAAAGTTTTTAGGTATATTAAACTGCAAATTTATCTATATAGACTATGATTTTTTTTAAAAATCGTAGTCCTTTTATATATTTGATTATAATTTTTTGAAAGTTGTAATCTTTTTAATATTAAACTATATTTTTCATACTAAACTATTATATATAAACTATATTTTTATCTATCTGGCACATTTTTATTTATTTAATTTCTAATTTTATGTATGAATTAAATTTATCAAATTATTTAAAAAAATAAGAATAAAATTAATTAAATAATAAAAATAATTATTTTAATAATAAAATCATTATTTTAAATAATTAAAATTTCTTTAATATATTTTAATTTTAAAAATTAAAAAATTTTAAAAATATAGGCAAAAGTTATCACTAATTATTATATTTCATTAAAAAAATTCAAATGAAGTTAAAACATACACTCAATAGAAATAAAAACTTAAGTAAGCTAAATTACTATGAGCGTAGATGTCCACTGTTATTACACGAATTAATTTTTATTTATGTCCTTTTTATGCATAATATTGTACACATATATTAATTTGCAACAGCAATTATAATTCTTGGATCCGTTATGCATGTTGGTGAGCTTAATTCAGTTCCAAGTTTTATTTGCACTAATCCTTCTTAAAATTTTATTTTTCTTTCTTTATGGAAGGAAAATTAGTGGGGGTCACGTGTTTTGACAAAACAAATTTGTTTGGATTCATGCATATTGTATATTTGGTTATCAAAATGCATTTAAAAGGGTATGCAAAGCAAGAAAAATAAAAATTATCGAAATATTTTATTCATTGATTGATGTATTATTTCTTCTCTAAAATAAAATTTGAATCTATTTTCTTAAAAAAAGAAAAACAAAGAAATTTAACTATGAACATAGTTAGGTGTCAAAAAGGGTTTGTGGTTAAAATATTTTGGGTACCGATTAGTATGTAATTTATTTGATATTGAAGCCCTATTTTGATATTACTAATAATCTTACATTCTTAATTCTGGAAAATATTGTATAACCAAATGTAATAATTAAATAATTAAAAATAAAAATATGATTAATAATCTTCTTTCTTTTGAATCAAACGATTCTATAAAAAAAAATGATTATGATGCAAATTTTCTGAAAGTTGGAAAGTTTGCATTTCTTAAAGCAATTGATTTGTCTTTTATCACCTTTTTTTTTTAAATGCAGGAAGATCTGCGTCATTCTGTCTACTTTTTTCTTTCTTTTTTATTTGTTTGAAATGTTGGCTACTTTTTTATTTCTAAACCAATGAGTGTTAAGTATAAAGTTATGACTAAAAGAATTAAAACATCCTAAAATGTGAAAACACTAATATTTCTTGTTGAAAGTGGGATCAAGCCCTTATTAAATTTCTTCTTCTAGGCTATGGTTGGATGAAGTATTTGAAGGGTGTAATGAATTTCAAGCAGGCTTTTCAAAAGTCAAAAAATAAATTCATTTATTTTGCTAAAAAGAAGAAGGGATTTCAATTTTTTGGCAAATTTCAAATGTGTAATTGAATTCAAAGTTGGATCAAATCCACCAAATCTCTTTTTTGCCATCAAGTCAAGATCTCGTAGTAGGAAAATGGGGTTTAAGAGAGAAAAAGTTTAAGCTTTTGTTTTTTTGGTTTTTTTTTTTTTTGAGATAGAAAGACAATAGTGATAAGTAAGTTTTTTACTCTTTTTTTGCTTTTAGCATGTGGGGAAAGTATGACGGTATTTTTTAATGTCTTGATTATTATTGTTTACTTACCTTTTTTTTTTTAAATTGGTCAAAATGACATACTTGTCAAATGCAATCCAAATAATTTTATAGTGTTTGTCATACCATATGATCCGTAAATCTATGCTAGACTTAACAAATTAAGGAGTCGCCACCAATCTTTTTTATCTAGGTGTGATTGGTCACCTAAAGAATCTATCCTTTTAAGGAGCTCCTAAGCTCGACTAAGGGTCCCTAAAACAATAGGTTTAAGCCTACAAATCAAAACAGGGTTTAGGAGTTCAGTTACATGTGGGAAAGGTTATAGTACCCCCACATGCCCATCCGAAGGATGGTACCATATTATTTTAAATTCATCCTAGGGTCTTGGTTCTAATGATTTTAAAATTTAATATTAAATATTGAAAATAATTCTTAAGATTCTCCATCAATTTGGTAGAACTCTTAAAAAAATATTTCTTCACCTCAAGAGTATTTAAGAATCCCATTTGATATCTTAAAGAGGGTCCGTCATTGAAAGAGGGTTTATTTATTATTTTTTGTCAAAAATATATCTGATTATTCCACCATTTGGGCCAAATTAAAAATATTTTCTCTTTTAGAATTTCTAAATTTTTCATCATTTGGGTCTATTTAGAAATTCTTTTTATTTTTTATTTTTTGTTGGATTTCTAAATTTTTTACCATTTGGGTCAATTTAGAAACATATTTTTTAGAATTTCTAAAGTTTCCACCATTTGGGCTTATTTAGTAATTCTTTTTTTTTGTTGGAAAGAAAATAATATGACAATTATTTTTATTGAAACTTCATCTAAATTATTCTACCATTTGGGACAAATTTAGATAAAATTTCTCACCTAAAGATTTCTTAGAAATTTACCATTTGAAATTTCTAAGAATCTCATCCTCGGATAATTATTAAATATTTTCATACAAATTTGGAAAAGAATACAATTACTTTTATTGAAATTTCATCTAAATTATTCCACCATTTGGGACAAATTTAGAGAAAATTTCTCACCTAGAGATTTCTTAAAAATTTACCATTTAAAATTTCTAAGAATCTTATCATTGGGTAATTTGTACTTAATTCCTAAATTTTTATCAATTTTTTTTATTTTTTTGTTTTGAAAATAAAATATTAATTATTGTTATTAAAACTTTATCTAAATTATTCCACCATTTGGGATAAATTTAGACAAAATTTCTCACCTAGAAATTTTATAGAAATTTACCATTTGAAATTTCTATAAATTCTATCATTAGATAATTAATATTTATTCCCAAAATTTATTTTATTTTTAACCTTTTTATTTTTTTAAAATTTAATCATGAAAGAAAAAAAATACTAAGAGAAAAAAACCAAGAAAAATACTAAATAAAATAAATAAATAAAATACCAAAGAAAAACCAAAAAATGGCTTTGTAGGTGGCTAGAATTCGACTAGGCTACAGACACAAGAAAGGGCTAGAACGGCGCGGCTCGGGTCATGGCTCGTGACTTAGCTCGGCTTGAGTCAAAAGTTGGAAATGGGTCAAAAGGCGGGTTGCGCTTCGAATCAGGTCGCCTTGCAGTAAAACGCGTGGATCTTGGGTTAAATTAAAACGCTAAAATGACGCCGTTTTGGAGCCACTATAAAAAGGCTAATTTCAAGCTTTCTGCCTTAGATCTCCTTTTCCCTTTCTCTCTTTTCCCTTTCTTTTCTTTCCCTTCTCTCTAACCTGGTTGAATATTAATTGGATTTTGGAAATTATCATCGAAATCTAGGTTGGTTCGTCAGACGGTCATTGAAAAATTCAAACTTCACCAGAATCTTCATCGAATTCTAGAAACCCTTGCCAAAAAATTCAACTAACGCCGAAAAATTCACCAAAATTTGGAAAATTTCATTAGAATCTAGGAGTTTTTTAGATTTTTCCAGAAAAATTACTTTTTTCTTCCAAAACCCAAAAATCTTCAAAAACCTTTATGATTGCTTTCTGCCTGTGATTTTTTATTTCTATTTCTGTGTGATCTTTTCTATGTTCCCTTGTGTGTTGTGTTCAAGGCTATATTTATAGAATCAAATCAGAAAAGTTTTTGATCAATTAGGAATCCCCATTCAATTGGGTTTTCACATTATCAGAAAACTTAGGAATTATCCTAAAGAGATTGAAACTAAATGTAATTCTGCCAGTGCTTATGCATGGCAGAATTTGTAATTTCCCCCCTTTTTTTACTAATATCCTATTATCTTAAAATAAATAATAATAATAATAAATCAAAATAAAAACAAGAATAAAAATAAAATAAAATAACAAAAAGTTAGGCCTATTTACTTGGACCCCATTGAAATGGGCCCAATGGGCTTAAGCTCAAATCCTTTGAACCAAGCCCAATGGGTCTAGGGCCAGGCCAATTAAAGTGTCTACAGTTGCCCCTCTTTGTGCATTTCCTGTGCAGCAGGAATTGTGCAAAGATATAGACACCCTGCATATGATTATCCCAACGCATTCATTTTTCATTTTTTTTAAATAAAGAAAACTCTTCTAAATAGAGGCTCAACGACTTTGAAAAAATAAATTGCTCCTCTAAACGGAGGCACCACAACTTTGAAAAATAAATTGTTCCTCTAAACAGAGGCACAACAACTTTGGAAATATAAATTGCTCCTTTAAACAGAGGTACCACAACTTTGGAAAATAGAGGCAGCACAACTTTGGAAAATAAAAGGCTCATTGACAAACATGTCTAGAGGAGTCATAGATCGTGTCTAATGAAATTTGTGATGAAAAATTAAAGATTTACAATTTGAGTTCGAAAATAAAAGGTTCAGATTCACAAGAACCTTTCAGCTTCGCAAGAATTTACTGAAATTTAATTCTTAAAATTTCAGTTTTGCAAGATTTCAAGATTTGCATTTGTAAATTACAAGACTTGCATCCAACATTTAAAGACTCCCATTCAAATTTTGAAGATTCTCATTTGAAAGTTCAAAGCTTCTGATTTGAGTTCAAAGGTTCACATTTGAAAAATTTTGGGTTTCACACCTCAAAGATTCTCATTTGAAATTCAAATATTCTCATTTAAGAACTCAAAAATTCTCATCAAAAGATTCCCAATTTCTTTTTCAAGTGACTCAAAATTGTGCATACAATAAATGTCATGATCAATAATGCAAATGTTTTCTCAATGATGCAAATGCAACAATCTAGATTCTCACAATGCCATATTCTTAACCATGATTTAAATGTTTACCGGATAATGCAAATGCATATCCAAACCAAAGTTTTAAACATTCTCCAAAAAATAATGCCAACATAATGCATGTAATGCATATATCAATGTCATGAAATTCTAATCAAAATGTGGTAACATAGTTCTCAAGACTCCATCATCTCACATTTTCTGCTTGTTTAGCTTCTCAACACTTTAGAACAAGTTTCATCAACTGATCATCATTATTTTCATCACTTGATCACCATTCATAGGCTTCTCAGCATTAATAATTCCAGAACAAGTTTCGTCTATTGCCTCATATCATTTAATCACAACTCACAGACTCCTCAGTACTAGCAATTTCAACATAAATTTCATCCATTAACCCATATCATTTAAGCATAACTCACAGGCCCCTTAGTACTAGCCATATTGGAATAAATTCTATCCCCTATCACTTGGTCACCGATCATAGGTTTCTCAGCACTAACCATTTTAGAACAAATTTTGCCCACTGGTCCACATTATTCTCACCATTTGACCATAACTCACAAGTTATGTCGACCAATTCATCCCATATTCATCACTTGGTCATATCACCTTTCAAGGTTTTTGCACTCTCTTCATTTGTTGACCAACCCATCACCATATTCATCATTTGATCACACTATGTGACTTTTCAAATCATTCTTTTTTAGGTTTTTACCATCTCTTCATTTTTTCCCTTATCATCTTGGATTTCTCTTCAAAGGAATGCACGATTTTTTTTATGCACATTGTCATTCATTCATCACACTTCAAATCATGACAAATATAATGCACTCATACATTTCCTCGATTTATTCTAGGGATGTAACAATAAGAGAACACAAGGTGAATTACAAAAAAAGTAATCAATGAAAAACAAGTGGGGAAAGAAACAAATTGGATGTATGTCATTGGAATGAATGGTATATCCAAACAATTCTAAACATTAATCCAGGATTTTTTTTTCAAAAACTCACTCCATTGATTGTCAAAATCATTTTGAGCTCATTAAACTTTGCCCAAGTTTCAAGAGATCTTTAGATACCTCAATCCTCCATATGTTAAAACTGTCCATCAAACTTTTAGCTCAAATGTTTTTTCTACCTAAATCGCCCTTTCGGGTTTTCAATTTGAGTCTTCCTTTTATCTCATTTTCATCTTTTCTTTTCCATTCTTTCATTTTCTTTTTTTCCTTCTATTTTTCTTTTTTTTATTTTTTCATTTTTTCCATGTTTCATTTTTCTCTTTTTCCTTTCTCTTTTTTTCTTTTTTTCCTCTTTTTCTTTTCTTTTTTTTTCTTTCATTATTGATATCTCTTCCACATCAATCTCTAGAGCAACGAAGCATGATTCTGTCGTTTCATCATGAGTATGCCTTAGCCCAACATATGATCATTCAATTCAAGCACTCACATTTGATCCAAATGAACTTTTAAAGGTTGTAATGTAGGCCATGGTGAAGGGTCATGAAAGAAATAGGTAAAATAGGCTCAAAATATGTGTTTAAAGAGTTCAAAACCAAAGAATCATTTCTCATCATTCGAAACAACTTGGCATTTTGCCCCATTCCACATCATTTCCTACTTTTTTTTTCATTCCTCACAAAAAGATTCTCATTACTTTGCCCCAACTTGTTTGTGGCATTTTTCTTTTCTCTCTTTCTTTCATTTTGCTTTTTTTTCTCTCTTTAATATCTTTTACGATCTTTTGCCTTTTTTTCTTTTTTCAAAAAAAGCCCCCCAGTGTAGAAGGTGATCCTTGGTCAAGGTTCTTTAGAAAAAAAATCATAATAGGCTTAAAGGGGTAGCAATGAATGGTTCTTCAAATGGTAAAAGAAAGATGGCCATTTTTTATCTCAAATGTGAATGCTTTCTTTGAACTTCATCTATTGAACAAAAATCAGCTCATAGATCTTTGTACATTTTCAAGACCTATCCATATCTACTAGTAGCTAGCTTCTTTTGCTCAAATGGTCTTGTTAGATCAATGTGAACAAGTTTTGAAAATTAGATTTCAAAATTATTGTTATCATTGTCTAAATATTCAGCATCTGAAATTAAGAACAGGAATGAGAAGTTATGAAAGGTAACAAAGTATGGAACCATGGTTGAATGAAAGAGAAAATATAATAAAAAGTGTTATCCTTGACTTTTATTAAAATGATAACAAATGAAATCTTATTGCATAAAAGAAATCCTAACATTACTCTAAAAAAAACCTAAAATGATAAGAAACTTTCAACCAGCATTAACATCGAAAATTATGCCCCATGCAATAGAGTGAAGGATCTTTCTTAACATTTAGCTCATTGATTTATTGCAGCTTTCAGGCCTTTTTGGATCAATGTGTTCTTGATTCTCACTTAAAGCATTTACATTATGATTAGGCAATGGATTGCCACTAACATTAGATGTTGTTGCTATTCCTTGATCAAAACTTATCATCCTATCCTTGATTAACTATTGCACCTTATACTTTAGAGCTGTGTAATTTTTAGTGGAATGGCCAGTAATTCCATAATAGTAGTCACAGTTGACTGTAGGATCATACCACTTAGGATAAGGTGGCTTAATTACCTCCACTCGACTGAGGCAATCAAGTGGTTATTATAGAGCTCTCGGTATAATTTTGTATAAGTCATAGGGATTGAATCAAATACGAGTTTTTCTCAGGTAATTCGTTGCTCTCATGAACCACTTGTTGGGTTAACAGACTGAATTTGGGGTTTCGAGTAAGGTTGAATCTTAAAGTCGTATACAAGAGCCTGAGGGCTGAAAACAAGCTGGTATGTTAATGGATAAGATAACAAGAGAGTTGGTTGGTATGGGTTAGATGAGGTATTGTTCACAACTAGATAGTATGAGGAGTAACCTTATGGTGGATAAGATTGATATCCATTGAATTGTCTATCAAAACTCACAGCTTGAGTTTCAATCTCTTTCTTTTCTGATGCCTTCTTGGTTTCCCCTTCTTTCAACTTGTCATTTCTAATGGTATTTTCAATGATTTCACTTGAGATCACCATGTCGATAAAATTCTTTGTTGTATTCCCTATCATTTTTTCATAATAAAGAGATTTCAGGGTACTGACAAACAACATTATGGTTTTTTTTAGTCAAAGGGCATTGCACTTGAGAAGCTACATCTATTCACCTCTGGGCATATTCCTTGAATGATTCAATTGTTTTTATTTCCATATTCTACAAAAAAAGATGATCAAGGGCCAAGTTTATAATATGTTGATACTGATTAATAAAGGCATGGGCCATATCACTCTAAGAACGAATATAGGTCCTATCTAACTGAACATACCATCTTGCAGCAGAGCCAGTAAGGCTGTCTTAGAAACATGCATTAGCAACTTTTCATTATGGGCATGGGCTGTCATTTTTTTACAGTGCATGGTAAATGAGTCTTTGAGCACTTTGTACCATCATACTTTTTGAACTCTGGTACTTTGAATTTTGGATGAATTACCATATCTGGGATTAAACAGAGCCCAGTAGCATCCACTGATCCATAAAAACTAACTCTTTCCACTGCTTGCAGCCTTTTCTTTAACAAGTTTATTTTTTGTTCAGCTTTTGAGGCTTCTAAAGTCTCTTTCTCCTTGGGCCTCAACTTCTCTTTCTCTTCTAGATCATCTAAATTAGGGACTGGTATGGGTTCTACCACCTTCTCAATAAAGATAGGATTTACATAACTCTGATATTACCTTAAATTTGAAGCAAATGGCATTCCATGGTGTGTGTACCCTACATGATAGGTAAACTACTGTGGTAATGGACCTTGTGTAGGTTGGGCTTGATGTGGCCCAAAACTAGGAGGGTACAATGAGTCATCCACCTCTTGTGAAAGATGGTCTTGTTGGCTAGTACTTTCTTCATACCTTTCCCTTTATTTAGTTTGTTCAAAGCCTCCAAAATCCTATTCAACTCCCTTTCTAGCTTCTTTTGAGCTTTTTTTATCTCTCGAGAGGATTAAAATTTTCTTGTTCCATTTGTCTAGCTCAAGTTCTTGTGTTGTACTGATGAGTTAATTGTGTGAGATTTTTGGTTGGTTGAGCTATCCTTGAACCTTAAGCACCATAATTATGATTAGAAATAAGATACTATGCTTTATGTTTGGTATGTTAATGCATGAATGAAATATACATTTTTATGGATGAAATAAGAATGATGCAAATGATAATGTTAAAACATGATCATGAAAATGATGCATAGAATGAAATGATGCAGATGCATAAAATCAAACAAACAACATGGTTAGTTCCATGGATGAAATGAAAGTGATACAGATGCATAATGTTACATATGACAATGAAAATAATGCACAAAGTTAGACGATCAAAATGGTTAGCAAGTCACAAATTGTTCCTTCTTACATTTTAACTTTGGTTTACAACTATCATTGGGTAAGAAAGGCTCTATTTTAGGGCTAGCCTCTTAAGTGTGAACTATATGCGGGGTTAGATGACTTTGACTACTAAAGGTTCCCAAATTGTTCCTTACATCATTGTCCATCACGGACTAGTAAGGCAGTCCAATCTTTACCTATCATAGGTTACAAACGAAAAGGATTCAATTTGAGTGAGAGCATTTCGCTAGCCATTATAGAGATTATCATTTCATGAGAGCATAGGTACTTTACTCCCTCCTAAAAGGAACAGAGCTCAAGTATAGAGCTCATGTAATGCAAATGCATGTAATAGTGTGTATGAAGGAACATATAGGTTCATCCCCCAAAAATAAAATACAAGATAAAAAAGGAAGAATGTTAGTAAACAAATAGTTACAATATAAAACCATTAGACCAAAGGATAGGATAAATTCAAAATGTTATGGCCTGGCTCTCTATAGCTGTCCCTAGTGAAGTTACCAAACTACCATACCATATCGATCCATAAATCTATAGCTAGATTTAACAAATTAAGGAGTCGCCACCAATCTTTTTTATCTAGGTGTGATTAGCCACCTAAAGAATCTATCTTTTTAAGGAGCTCCTAAGCTCGATTAAGGGTCCCTAAAAGAATAAATTCGGGTCTACAAATCAGAACAGGGTTTAGGAGTTTGGTTACATGTGGGGAAAGTTATAGCAACCTCACATGCCTATTCGAAGGATGGTACCATATTATTTTAAATTCATCCTAAGGTCTTGGTTCTAATGGTTTTAAAATTTAATGTTAAATATTGAAAATAATTCTTAAGATTTCTTAAAAAATTATTTTCTCACCTTAAGAGTATTCAAGAATCCCATTTGATATCTTGAAGAGGCTTTGTCATCGAAAAAAGGTTTATTTATTATTTTTTGTCAAAAATATCTCTAATTATTCCACCATTTAGGCCAAATTAAAAATATTTTCTTTTTTGAAAATTTTAAAATTTCCACCATTTGGGCCTATTTAGAATTTTTTTATTTTTATTTTTTGTTGGATTTATAAATTTTTGACCATTTGGGTCAATTTAGAAACATATTTTTTAGAATTTCTAAAGTTTCAAACATTTGAGCCTATTTAGAAATTCTTTCTATTTCTTTTTTTTTATGTTGGAAAAAAAATAATATGACAATTATTTTTACTGAAACTTCATCTATATTATTCCACCATTTTGGACAAATTTAGATAAAATTTCTCACCTAAAGATTTCTTAGAAATTTACTATTCGAAATTTCTAAGAATCTTATCCTTGGATAATTATCAAATATTTTCAAACAAATTTGGAAAAAAATGCAATTACTTTTATTGAAATTTCATCTAAATTATTCCACAATTTAGGACAAATTTAGAGAAAATTTCCTACCTAGAGATTTTTTAGAAATTTACCATTTGAAATTTCTAAGAATCTCATCCTTAGGTAATTTGTACTTAATTCCAAATTTTTTATCAATATATTTTTTTCTTCTTTTTTTTTTCTTTTGAAAATAAATATTAATTATTGTTATTAAAACTTTATCTAAATTATTCCACAATTTGGGACAAATTTAGACAAAATTTCTCACCTAGGAATTTTATAGAAATTTACCATTTGAAATTTCTATAAATTCCATCATTGGATAATTAATATTTATTCCCAAAATTTATTTTATTTTTTACCTTTTTTATTTTTTTTCTAAATTTAATCATGAAAGAAAAAATACTAAGAAAAAAAACTAAGAAAAATACTAAATAAAATAAATAAAAAAATACCAAAGAAAAACCAAAAAACAGCTCTATTGGTGGCTGGAATTCGGCTTGGCTACAGACACAGGAAGGGGTTGGATTGGCACAGCTCAGGTCACGACTCGCGACTCAGCTCAACTTGAGTCAAAAGTTAGAGACGGGTCAAAAGTTAGGTTGCGCTTCGAGTCGGGTCACGCTGTAGTAAAACACGCGAATCTTGGGTTGAATTAAAATGGCAAAATGATGCCATTTTGGAGCCGCTATAAAATGCTAATTTCAAGCTTTCTACCTCATATCCCATTTTTCCCTTCTCTCTCTTCCCTTTGTTTCTCTCTTTTCTCTCTAACTTGGTTGAATTTTCGGTTGAATATCAACTGAATTCTAGAAATTATCATCAGAATCTGGGTTGGTTCACTAGACGATCACCAAAAAATTCAAACTTTGCTAGAATCTTCATTAGGTTCTAAAACCCCTTGTCAAAAAATTCAACTGGCACCAAAAAATTCACTGGATAATTCAAACGGTGTCGAAAAATTCACCAAAAACTAAAAAATTTCGCCAAAATCTTGAAATTTTTAGATTTTTTTAGAAAAATTGCTTTTTTTTTCCTAAACCCAAAAATCTTCAAAAACTTTTCTGATTGCTTTCTGCCTATGATTTCTGATTTGTGTTTCTATGTGATCTTTTTTGTGTTCCCTCATGTGTTGTGTTCAAGGTTGTATTTATAGAATCTGATCAAAAAAATTTTTGATCAATTAGGAATCCCCCTTCAATTGGGTTTTCACATTATCAGAAAACTTAGGAATTATCCTAGAGAGATTGAAACCAAATGTAATTTTGCCAGTGTCTATGCAAGATAGAATTTGCAATTTTTCCCCTCTTTTTTTTTTACTAATATCCTATTATCTTAAAATAAATAATAATAATAATAATAATAAATCAAAATAAAAACAAGAATAAAAAGAAAAATAAAATAACAAAAAGTTAGGCCTATCTACTTGGACCCCATTGAAATGGGCCTAATGGGCTTAGGCCCGAATCCTATTAAACTAGGCCCAATGAGCCTGGGCTCGGATCAATTAAGGTGTCTACAATATGATGTGATTTACATCGCTCAATGGAGTTTTTAGTTCTAGTACTCATTTGCCTTTTTATTTATTTATTTGTTTTTCTAGTTCAAGTTAATTACCTAAAATTTTTTATTTCTTTTTTTACGTACAAATTATAAAATAATTTTGTAAATTTAATATAAAATAAATTTTATTATTAAATAGTAAATTAATAAATAACTTTTAATCATTTATTAATAAAATCATTATTTGACATAAAATAATTTATTAATAATTTATTAATTTTATAAATATTAAATAATTTAAAATTTTTATTACATATAATTTTAATTTAATATCTTTAATAATAATTTTTTTTACTATAATTCATCTCATCATTGTCATTATTTTTGTATTCAAAAACATTTTACAACTGATTTTAATTTTTTATTACGATAATCTATTTTATATCTACCACTATTTTTAATTTTATTAAAACTAATTTTAATATCCAACCAAATAGATCCAAAGTGATTGCAATACCACGTAAATAATGTGCGAAAGACTTCCTGAAAGACTTCTGAAATCTTCCTCCAATTGGCGTTGGCGTCAATTGGGATGTTTCTAACCCTTTTTTCTTTTCATTTCTTTATTATGATGGGAAAAAAGAAACACAGTTGATTAGGGTGGGGCAGCCAGGGAACTTGAAAAACCCTTTTTTAAAATTACTGTTTTTAACCATTAGATTACGATTTTTTTAAAAGTTATAGTTTTTTTTTTTTATATTAGACAAAGAATTTTTTCAAAAATCAAAGTTTATAGGTATATTAAACTACAATTTTATCTATATAAACTATGATTTTTTTAAAAATCGTTGTCCTTTTATATATTAGACTATAATTTTTTGAAAATCGTAATCTTTTTAATACTAAACTATATTTTTTATACTAAACTATTATATATAAATTATTTTTTTATCTATCTGGCACATTTTTATTTATTTAACTTCTAATTTTATGTATGAATTAAATTTATCAAATTATTTAAAAATAAGAATAAAATTAATTAAATAATAAAAAATAATTATTTTAAAAATAAAATAATAATTTTAAATAATTAAAATTTGTTTAACATATTTTAATTTTAAAAATTAAAAAAATTTAAAAATATATACAAAAGTTATCATTAATTATTATATTTCATTAAAAAAATTTAAATGAAGTTAAAACATACACTCAATAGAAATAAAAACTTAAGTAAATTAAATTACTATGAGCGTAGATGTCCACCTTTATTACATGAATTAATTTTTATTTATATCCTTTTTATGCATAATATTGTACATATATATTAATTTGCATCACCAATGATAATTCCTAGATCCGTTATGTATGGTAGTGAGCTTAATTCAGTTTCAAGTTTTATTTGCACTAATCCCTCTTAAAATTTTATTTTTTTTTTATTTATGGAAGGGAAATTAGTGGGGGTGACGTATTTTGGCAAAACAAATTTGTTTGGATTCATGCATATTGTATATTCGGTTATCAAAGTGCATTTAAAAGGGTATGCAAAGGAAGAAAAATAAAAATTATCAAAATATTTTATTAAGTTGATTGATGTATTATTTCTTCTCTAAAATAAAATTTGAATCTATTTTCTTAAAAAAGGAAAAAAAGAAATTTAACTATGAACATATTTAGGTGTAAAAAAGGTTC